TGGGTCGGACTGGGTTAGAGTTTCTTTAGGTGGGTCGGACTGGGTTAAAGATTTTTCAGGTGGCGCTGACTAGGGTATAGATTCTTCAGGTGGAGCAGACTGGGTCAGAGACTCTCCGGGAGAACATTGTTGATGTGTATTTTTCAAGTGGTCTGTTTTCTTAGACACCTTTTATATTCAGTATCTTGAGAACTACTAGTGGAATTTTATTTAGAATTAAGATATTCATATTTTCTTAGATTATGCACTGTTGAATGGAAAACTTTGCATTTAGCTTAATTAGGGCTTGATGGAACGATTTATCTTTTAATTTTATTTTATATTATTTTAGTTCATTGACATCACATGTCAATGAGTCACACATCATATTGGATAATATTATAAGTAGAAATTGTGGAGATTCTCAGGTTGTAAATATCTACAACTTTAAATATATTTTGCATATTATTAATGCTAGGTTTGCGTTATGTTTATTTGATTATTCAGTGAAAAGTAAAATAACTGAAAATAAAAATAATTGTTTTCTAACAATTGTCAGTGAAAAATTATTAATAAATTTTCTTTAAACAAATATTTCTTTCTTTAAATAAAAAAATTGTTTCTTTTAAAAATTATTAATAATTAAAATCTTAATAATTGGCAGTGAAAAATAAAATAATTGTTTTCTAACAATTTCAGGAAAAATATTTTTTATTTATAGTAAAAGAATTAAATTCAGGGTATGATATGCGTATATTCTTATTTTTATGATGTGTTAGTTTGTCACACAAAGGCGAGTCGTTTTAGTATGATCTCTACCATTGGTTGATTGGCACTCATAGGAGTATGGAGAAGACGGGAGGGGCGTCACACACGCTCCCTTGATATCACTGGCCCCATAACACGGAATGCGAGATACTAGTTCGTATAGACTCAGACTTGAGCTACAGGCATGCCAAGTCCCGTTACTTTTAACTCGCACCTCAACAAGTTTGTACTTATCGTAAATTGGTAAGTAACGGCGCCACTTCTGCCGTGTCTTCACAGGCTAACATTCAGCTAGTAAGTAAATTATTAAAATATATTAATTTCATCTTACCAGGCTGAAACATCTTAAACTAAACCATTTTAGGTATAAGCGTCTCAGACAAGCACAATAACAATACAGGGGCAGTATACCCCACGCAATGTGTAATCACTAAGTTTACTTTAGTCCTGAACTATGTTTAAGTTAATGTCAACATTCTGATCGATCATAAGCTTTTGCGATAGCCTTAATAACCCCTCCCGCGGTTACTAGGCCTTAGATTTGTGGATTTGTACTGACTGGATTTGTGCGCTCCTTGAGACACTTTATGTAGAGGAGGGTAGAAATAGCCTAAGCTACTCTATCCCTTTGAGATGTATTTTCTTGTCTCAATAATTATACTTGAACTAGGTCTTAAGCCCAACACTAAACCAAACTAGGTTCAAAGTTCATGGACAGAAGGGCGCAATATTTAATTTCAAATTATAGGTTAATAACATGCATTATGTTATGAGATATAGCAGCCTGTTGAAATATACTTGTCTATTAACATGTACTTCAGTTATTGGTCTGTTCAACCGCAAAAAGATGAAAGGTCAATTACCAAATTGAATCTTTATTAGTACATTTATTCAACAGGTGTTCTGATACACAACTTATATCACATGTTTAGGACACTAAAAATTAATATTGAAAGTAGAGTATCGTCAGTAACTGTCCGTAACTCTTATATACTAAAACACTTTGTTTTTTAGTTTGATACAACTAACATACTTGTGTAAGTTAAAAGAATTAACATACAGGTAATTCCAGTATATTCGAATGGATGAATGACATTGATATGAATGTAGATAAATAACGTTTCTCTTGAATTATAATGTGTGTGCGTGTCATCCAAGATGGGGCGGTGGTATTCCTTGGCCAAGATACTGTTCCGCAGTCGTGAGGGCGGATAGTATTCTCTGCGTCAGTAGATCCACTGTTTCATCAGCTGACCGTCGTAGTGACCGGCCGTTCCTTACCCGTTTAAGGACGTCAGCAAATATACGAACAACGAAGGTAAGCAAAAGAAAGACCGCTATGCTCTCCAGGGTTATATTGCCACCTCCGGTCCTGCCCTCCTGGGCCGCTGTATGTGTTTGCTGTACTTCCTGGACCTCTGGGTAGACATGGACATGCTGGGTATCGTTGTCCATGGTGTGTAGAGTGGAGCTTCAATGTGGGGTCAAGAGCAGATTCTCTTGAAGGTAGCACTCACAGGACCTCTCACACTGCTGTTCTATAATTAACATCAAACCATTATGTTCTGCAGGACTGCGTTGTCTTACATGGAATCGTTTCCACGTTTCATATATTATTTGTTATAGTACAATACAAGAATGATTTCATTGGTGCTTTGTATAAGAAAAAGATTTGATTTTAATTCCAGTCGTATTTTTGAGTTCCTTACGTTTCTCAGTTTTCGGTCTAGTAGCAACTGTTGGTGGTTGTCCGTTGATTACAGGGTGTTTGTGGGGGATGTAGCAGCTTCTGCAGTCAGTGACGGTCACAGAGAGGATCTTGTCGCGACGCTTCGTCGTATGACACTGCGTCCCAGCAGGGTTGCCACCTCACGGAACAATTTTTTTATCGATTGTACCGTGAAGTACTTTAAAAAGTACCGTTACAGTACCGATATTTTTTTAACTACTGTATATTAACAGCAGTAATATTCCCATTATTAGTTTATAGGTAAACTAGCTTTGTATGACAGCCATTTAATGGCCATTCTTCTGCCTTCGTTATCACTTTACCTCTTACACAGTTTTGGCAGAGAGAATGGTATATAATATAGACCTCGATATAAGTCTACCGTGTATAAATACACTCTGGCTTCCTGTCCCCGACACAATGAATTATTAGGAATTAAATTATTATTTAAGTTAATGTTATGTTTTGTTCACCAGGAAAAAGACGTCCTTAAGACCACCCAATCCTTCTATTTGTGTACGTTAGAAACAGTGTTTGTTTTCAAAATTACAATACAATTTTATAATTAATCTTGTCATTATACTATAATGACTGAAATTTCAACTTCGCGACGTTTGCAGCCTGTCATCCTTACAGGGTGATTTATAAGTATGTTTAACTAAACTGCGCCTTATATAGCATAGTAACCCAATGGCAAATAGTTTGTATTCACATCTTTCGAGTTAATATTAAATGTCTTCATAATGTAGAGGAAAAATGTAAATATCTTTGTGGTACAGAAAAATTCTACCGCTTCTAAGGAAAAATGTAATTTTCGGTACATTTTCCTTTCATAATGTAGAACCATAGCCTTCTTCACAATGTTGGACCATAGTACCGCTAACTCCAAACTGTACAGTTTTGGTACAATTATACCGCAGGTGACAGCCGTGGTGGCTGGAATTGAGTACGCCGAACCGCTATCCCGTAATGGCTCTTCCCTTGCGTTTGAGTTCGTGAACGTGAAAATGAATAATATATAAAAGCTTTTCAGCAATAGTCATCAAGGAGAATGGTTATTGTTAGATATACGTAACTCAAGCTGCGTACCACGTCAAATGAGTAAATATCAATTCAAAGTTTCCACGGTAACTCCAGGAAGTGACATGATCCGTTTGACTTACTGTAAATATATAGTTCTAGAAATAGAACTTTCTCTGTAACTAGCTGACATGTGTGATACGGTGTGAAGGATAGATGAAATTGTTTATGTAATAATCTAAGATGACGTCTGATAAAGACCTTTTGTGCCCTCTGTAATGCTTTTTGCACTACCGTTCACAGGATGAGTATGGGGTGCACAATAAACTAGCCCCCCCCCCCCCGGCGGCAACAATCAAATCAACCGGGTTGTCTGTTATACGCTGTATAAGAAGCCACTCCCAAAACGCAATGTTGTGACTAACAGTTAATCTTGTGACATTGACTACCACCATAAATTGATCTTAGTCACGTGAATTATCTGCCCCTGATATCGCTGAGATTCTTCAGGTGGGGCTGACTGGGTGAAAAATGTTCAGTGGTGGATGCCATTTGGCTTCATAGTTTTATATAGTTATAGCAATTAAATCGTAACATCCAGAAATGTGGTCTGCTGCCTTTAGTATAAACCCTTATGTATATATATGTCGTACCTAGTAGCCAGAACGCACTTCTCAGCCTACTATGCATGGCCCGATTTGCCTAATAAGCCAAGTTTTACTGAATTAATATATTTTCTCTATTTTTTTTCTTATGTAATGATAAAGCTACCCATTTCATTATGTATGAGGTCATTTTTTTTTATTGGAGTTAAAATTAACGTAGATATATGACCAAACCTAACCAACCCTACCTAACCTAACCTAACCTATCTTTATAGGTTAGGTTAGGTATCCGAAAACGTTAGGTTAGGTTAGGTAGTCGAAAAAACATTAATTCATAAAAACTAGGCTTATTAGGCAAATCGGGCCTTGCATAGTAGGCTGACAAGTGCGTTCTGGCTACTAGGTACGACATATATATATATATGTCGTACCTAGTAGCCAGAACTCACTTCTCAGCCTATTATGCAAGGCCCGATTTGCCTAATAAGCCAAGTTTTCCTGAATTAATATATTTTCTCTAATTTTTTTCTTATGAAGTGATGAAGCTACCCATTTCATTATGTATGATGTCAATTTTTTTTATTGGAGTTAAAATTAACGTAGATATATGACCGAACCTAACTAACCCTACCTACCCTAACCTAACCTATCTTTATAGGTTAGGTTGGGTTAGGTAGCCGAAAAAGATAGGTTAGGTTAGGTTAGGTAGGTTAGGTAGTCGAAAAACAATTAATTCATGAAAACTTGGCTTATTAGGCAAATCGGGCCTTGCATAGTAGGCTGAGAAGTGAGTTCTGGCTACTAGGTACGACATATATATATATATATATATATATATATATATATATATATATATATATATATATATATATATATATATATATATATATATATATATACTGTATATGGTTTAGTATATAAGGTTTGACCGAGACAAATTGGGATCAAAGTAACTGACTAACTGTGACCCAAGTTGCCAACATCTATCTCATATGACGAATGTAAATATTTACGAATGTCATCATGTAAATCTGTTCAATGGTTACTCTTTAAAATACGAAAATCCGTGATGTTACTTAGTATTAATTACAAACGCTTTTGTATGTGCTTGCATTGTGACTGCTTAATACAGGGAAAATATTGTCTTGTGTTTAATGCAGTGGCAATTACAGGTTTATGAGTTTCAACTCTAATTCCATTATAGTAGGCACTACAGTCAGTAGACGACCGCTTTAAAAAAGCTTATACGACTTACAAACAATAAGGCATGATTATGGTCTACTATCACAAACAGTGATGAAGAAACAAGTCCGGGTACTTATTTTCAAGCATGAGCAAAATGTAATAAGAAAGAACAATAGTGCACAATGAAATCACATTAACGTACCAATGAGAAAATCACTAGGAGCCATGAGGGGGGGGGGGGAAGGGGAGGGATTCCATAGGGCGTTTGCTTGGATGTATCAAGTGAGCGGATTCGAAGCCTCTTCATGGCTCCTAATGATTTTCCTACGAGACAATAATATTATACTGTGTAGAATGCAGCACAGCGGAATGTATCGAGAAAACTAGAATACCGGAGAGGATTGATAGACGAGCATAGTAACTTGTCAACTTTAAGGAGGGGGCTAGTAATAAATTGCTAGTAGGCTGGGATGACGTTGATGCGCGAGACGCGATCCTTCTCTGAGGTCAGCTTAAATGCTGCCTTGGGCGTGAGGTCCGTCACCAGGGAGACGCCTCCTCGTCTGTAATAGAGCACTTCGGCTGCCAGGGCGATCATGGCCAGAGCCAGGCCGATCAGTGTAGCAATAAAAACACCACCTGAAAGCAAAGACCAGAACTTGTGTACATGAATGCAAATATAACAAAAACCTAATAATAACAATTATATAATTACAATGTCAAAATTAGAAAATTGATTATAAATTACCCACATAATATATTTTACACTGTTTTCAATCATACAATGTAGTGCACACATTTACCATCTATCTATATCTATAAAAAGAATGCATGTTTGTCTAAGGTTGCAGGCCAGACTCTTGGAGAAAACTTTGAGAACCGTGAAAAAAACGTGAGAAAACCTCACGGAACTTTGAATGGTGATTTACGATTGTATGGAGAGTGTCATAGGGTGGTCGAGGTCGACCCCCATGCTTCTTAAGAATTAAGAGGGGTCGGTTCCTTTTCCAAACTCCAACGACTCTTGAGTCTAAAATGAGGTTTAGTTTTCCATGGATTTTTTTTTTTACAAGATTTTAGAATAATAGATTCTATTATTCTCGCGAGAATAAAGATTCGTCGAGAAGATAACGGCAGCAAAATGGACCTACCTAGACTCTGGAGAGTAATGCCCTCAGAATCGTTGTCGTTAGGACAGGTTCCGCGCGCTGAAGAGTTCCAGAATTGTGCTGACAGAGCCTCGAAGTAACGATCCTTCTGTAGCTCCAGGATTCTGAAGCACATGCACAGCCACAGATATAATTTTGTTGCAAAACATCCATTAATTAGCTTCGGCAATATCGGAGATCAGGACGGCAAAGAATTTCTCATTTCGTTTTTCAGGTGTTATGCAAAATAGTGAAAGGAAATTGTTGAATGCTGACTTAATGAAAGACTAGATCTGTTAATTGTTTAGGACAAGTTTGGGAGTGAGTTAGGAGCTTGGTATGGTGACCATTTCTGGCGTTTACATATCCCTCGATGGCTGATAAAGCAACAAGAACTCTCTGTATAACATATTTGTTTATGAGGACTACGGTGTTTCACTCACGCCCTGCTAATTTCATCCTGGAGGTGGCTGCCCTGCTGCACGGCGATGGCATATGGTTGTTCGGCAAACGGTTCCCCGACCTCCGCTAGTAGGCAGTTGTGATACACTTCGTAACGGATCTCTGACGCGTCGTGGATGAAGGCGAAGTCTCCATCTTTGTTCTTTAGTACCTGCGTGAGAATTAACTTGTCGTTGCCTCATGGGAGACATTAATCAGACGCCATATAATTTTCTTTTTCAATAAGCATTCCTTCCCTTCTCTCCCCCCCCCTCCCAGCATCCCCCCCACTTTTGTTCTACGAATGTTAGTTATCAGTGCTCTTATATATATTCTCAAGCACCACACTATGACTGAACCAAGGCACTATACACAATAATCTTCAGATTGCTATTCACATACAATTTTGTATTTCCAGTAATTCATGACAGTCACATTTTTTTATATACAGTGTATGTAGTTATGAATATTATAAAACTTGCATATTCAGTTACAATTTTACTGACATTTTAATTGAATGTACTTTTCAAAGTAATTTCCACGCTTTTAAAAGCAGAGACAATATTAGTCCCAAATTTCCTACCTTATCAAAACCGAGCTGAGCACGCTCAACAGGTCCAGACTGGTCGATAACTTGCAGGATGTGAGTGTACTGCTCTTTGATAGGGTAGTCCCACACCCGGTACTTGCTCTGGTCGCTTGTGCTGTTCAGCGTCAGCTCTTTCCACACCCTGAGTGCGGGACGAAGAGGTCTGTGAGAGCCCTCGATCGCTCATATACACCTGACACCCCTATTTATTCATCAGAGAGGCACTGCGGGCTCACCATAGCCCGTGTTACTTGGAACTTTTAGTTCTCAGTAGCTGAATCTTAAACAACAACAACCTATTTATTCATTACATTAAAACAATATGTGTGAGAGGGAGGCACTCGACAGCTATTCTTCAAGTGTTTAATAGGCATCGCTTCTTTATATCAAAGCGTTATGTAACTGTAATTTATGTTTTATATGGAATTAAAAAAAGTCATTAACCAATTTTTATTTAATTATCAGGGGAAAGCGCCAAGCCATTACGACTTTATAGCACTTGGATAAGGATTTGGGATGGGACGTAGTTTTTATGGGTCAGGATAAGGATTTGGGATGGGGCAGGGGGAAGGAATGGTGCCCTACCACTTGGACGGTCGGGGATTGAACGAGTCATTAACCAATCCAGGTAAACTAGAGGAAAACAAATTAATCCAATCGCGCTGTTCTTCATAAGAGTCTATTCCAATGATGATCATTATAATTAAAGCATAACTCACTTTGATGCAGTTACGAAATCATGATTCTAAAAATAACTACTATATCTTAGGATAATATTATAAATTTACATATAGGCATTATACATATAATGCATATATATAAAAACATCATACCAGGCTAGAAAACAGTATGCCTACAATACGTATGCAATAACATTACACACTAGTAGCACACTGCAAGTAGCAGAATGTCTACAATACACTATACTGTAGTATTACACACACGTAGCATAAAAGAATACACACACACACATGCAAGCAGGACAACAAGTAAATAAGATATATGTGATAATGATGGAAGATATGGTATTGCGTATACAATAACATGTATATCTTGTAACCATCAAATACATAATAAAGCACAAAAAATAAAAAAGGAAGGGGGTGGTAGGAGAAAAGCACACAGAAACTGTATTGGAGGGGATCTAAACATTCCCTCTAATGCGTTATGTGTGGTTTCCTCCGAGGCTATGGGTCCCCCTTCTTCCAGCTTGAGGTGATACTCCCTTCCATATATATATATATATATATATATATATATATATATATATATATATATATATATATATATATATATATATATATATATATATATATATATTGTGTGTGTGCAAATCACGAAGAAATTAACACGTGATGAATGTAACAATGTCAAACCAAGAGGAAAATGAAACAGGAAATTCCTTCGGTACTTAAGTATTATTGATTTTCCTCGTGGTCAAACATTGTCATATATATAGGCCCTGACGGCCTAGGTTCAAATCCTTAAGCGATCATTATTGCTGAAAAAACCATCTAGCTCAGTACTTAACCCACTCTACCAGCGACAGTGTATAAGTGTAGGAAGGTCCTGAGAGACATGTGCATCCTACTCCCGGCTACACTCGTGGTTTTATAGACAGATATTTTATCACTATCTTGAATATGCTGGGATCACGCTCAGCATCATACAATGATGGTGTTCTGTACTGTTCTTTTCTGGAATCTGTACACCAGTTGATTGACAGTTGAGAGGCGGGAACAATGAGACAAAGCTCAACCCCCGCAAGCACAAATGGGTTAATACAATAAGTGTGCAGCTTGAATGGTCCCCCAAGCATCAATTTTTCAACAGTACTCTAATGATCCCTCAAGGATTCGAACCTAGGCCACCATATATAATATCTGTGTATGAGTGTGCAGTCAATTTATCGTGAATGTACTGCCACAGAGTATAGTAATAGAGACAAAATAATATAAAGTTAATAATGACTAATAATAGCACAATAAAGCTGAAAGTTAGCTTACTAATAACGACTGTGGAAGATGAACTAATTACGATCACTGGATAAAGCTGAAGACTTAAGAGGCTTGCCAGGATAAAATGACCCCTCACAACGATCAACAATAAACCATGTATCCTAACCTGAGGGCTAGTGTATACCAAATGTGGATATACCAAGCATATCCACAATTAATTTGCCGAAAATAGGACATAACAAAAGGAAGAGTATTTTTGAGAGCACTGAATAGAAATATAAGAAGCCCACGAAAGTCAGCAAAGAAATATAATGAATTAAGCGCACGCACGTCACAGCTGGTGAGAAAGAGAGAGAGCACCAAGAGAGAGACTGTAAGAGCGGGGAGAGGCCGGGGCTACCTGAAGAGCTCGTCCTCTGCTTTAGCCATGTTGTGGAAGTACTCGTATATGGCCGAGTCCTTGGTGGTGGTGAAGTTGATCTTGGTCTGGTGAGCTAAGGCTTCCAGGGACTGCACGGTAGACTGCAGGAGAGGCAGGCAGGAGTCAGTCACACCCTACCTGAGATCACTTTGGCTACACTAACGGTTTATACTCAAGACACCCTTAGCATCACTCTCATACGGACACTGTCGACAACTATATATTTGCAGTTTCAGCAGTCCGGAAATGTTATTCAATGCATTTTCACCTGGTTCATCGCATTTTTATCAATCGAAGGTAATTTGTATCTCAGGAAACTCAAATGTACTCAAATGAATTTCAGAAAATTAATGTTTTTTCAATTATATGAATATCACGAAATATATGTAGACTATAGAAAATGATACAAAAAATCGTAATATACGATATATAGCGGAATTTGTCAGTATTGTGTCCCATTGCTAAATGTTGTATGTATAATAATAAGGTTGATATGCACTTTAATGAATGTTGCCCCAAGAGCAAGAATGACATCGTGCTGAAACATTGGTAGGATGTAACCCGTTCTCCACACATTATATTACCTATAGCTACTATGAATGTAATGTATATAATATGAACTGTACTACCCGAAAATTTCACGTTTTATATATTTTGAATACTAAAGGGCATAACAAAAATTGAAACATTATAGCAATCAATCTAACTTAGGCCTAAATAAGTGATCCTAGATCTATAAATACTCAATCTTACGTCTTATTTAGCACATAAATGCACTTAACTAAACTTAGGACGAGTTAAGGTTGGTGGTTGCCTTCTTTACTAAGTCCTCTATCAAATCAGACGTACAAAACTTATACTTTAATTGCAATATTCCATATTTTGTACATTACATCCATAGTAACTATATGAACTGTCATTTTTGGAGGATAGGCTGTATTCATGCACCAGGTACAGTAGATGAGAGGCCGGGCTTTAAAACTGCATCTCGCTCCCCGTATACACAATTATGTAAACACACACACACACACACACACACACACACACACACACACACACACACACACACACACACACACACACACACACACACTCACACTCACACTCACACTCACACTCACACTCACACTCACACACACACACTCACTCGTGCGGATATAAATTACGGCGTACAAAATACTCAGAGGCATTGACTGGGTGGACATAGAGAACTGATATTTGAGGGACTAACTCCAGGAAAAGTGGGAGGCACATTGGAAGAACCAAACCCAATTGAGTTACGTTGTATTTTAAAATACTGAAAAAAAGATCAGTGGACATAAATGGTACTTGAACACCCAGTTAGTAAAATATTAGGATGGATCAGAGGCCTGATCTCAGCCCCAGCAAAGACAGCGAAAATGAGCATACACAACAAAGGAGAAGTTTTTTGCAAAGTAAATGAGATAACAGTGAAGTTTATCTCATTATATTCGGAAAATCTGACGAAGATTGACTATACAAGACGTCAAACTTGGTATACAACAGCAAGACTGTTGATGGCGAGGCCGTGGAGTCTAGCACATACAGGGTAACAAAAGCTAAGAGGTTACGGTGAATGTTGTTCCCTCGAATAGTTATTTGGTTGTAGTGTTCGGGACTGTGGTAGACCACACGGACAACCGGTGGTGGTGGCTGGTGGTGCTGTAATAATTGTAGTGGTTTCCGCAGGAAGTTTTGTGGTTGGAGTAATGACAGTGATGTAGTCCGTGGGACACTGAACTGAGGGGAAATTCAATCCTCTTGTTTGCTGGCTTTATTTTACAAATATGTTTTCCAACAGAAATCATGCAAAAATTTTACCACCAATGTCTGTAGCGGCTTTGACAAAAAATTACGTGCCATGCAAAAATTTGTTGGCGTGATTCTAATGTGATAAAAAAATTAAAAACATGAAAAATGGATAACAGTGCAAGTTCAAAATTCATAGCACTTAAAAATGTTTCTGCAACCCAAACACTGTCAGTAAGTGAAAGGGATAATTTTGAGAGGTACCGGTAAAGTTCTTCCTCCGCGGCGGCCATGTTGGCGAAGTACTGGTAGATTGCACTGGACTGAAGCACGGTGTAGTTGATCTTGCTTTGTCCCGCCAACTCGTCCAGAGAGCTCACCGGAGTCTGCAGCACCCATACAACCTTAGTTTCTCGTCTCCATTTTCGTATCTACACTCCTTATATTCCTTCGATGTCTCAGTTCTGCACCAGATATTGGCCTACACTAACTCACTTTTACAAAAGCCCTATTGACTAGTATATCAAACTTGCCTTCATAAAGGGCTAAAGTGTCACATTACCTACCGTAACGTTTCTCATCACACCATTTTTGATACACACACAGATGTCTCACATGTACAGTAATACCAAGTACTTGGCTCTGTGTTAGTGGTAATAACAAATTACTTTAAATTGTAATAATACAGCATGAAATTTAAAGCAATACAGCCAGATCATCCAGCACTGCTGGGCGATTCATACAGAACACAAATACTCATTCATTCGGACACTCCCAGAGAGAAGGGGCGAAGAGACTGTAACGGTTCAAGTATATATGGCTGTTATAGACCGGCCAAGAGCTGTACTAACACTGCTGTTTACCGACACACTTGACGCGGCACTAGGCTCCAACGCTGCGGGTTCGTGCCTCTTCTAAACTGTCGGCCATTAGTGAGTCGCCAACAGGTGTAGATATACTCGCGTTAGATATAAATGCACATTAAACAAAATTTGTAATGGTAAAAGTAATATTAGTTTTATTTGTGGAAGTGTTTGTGCAAATTATTCCCGTACAAATAATTTGAGAAGGAAGCTCTACGTATGTCAAGAGTTTCAATGCTTATATTAATGTCAGTATTGTGAAGTAAAGGCCAGCCTATCCTCTTGTTTAGGTAGTACTTATAGTAACGATAAGGACCATCGTACATATATTGACGTACAAGGCAATTAGAAAGTAGAAATCGGTACTACTGAATTTGGACAAACCGGAAAAGTTTTTGTACTGTTGCAAAGAAAACTTAACCTAACCTTCCTAGGCCTAATACACACTATCTGAGGCCTAATATAGTACATATATGTGCTATACTGGGTCTAGGAATATTTATTAAGTTTGGGTTTTATCTTTATATTTTTCGGACTATAAAATGAATAGTACCAAATTCTACTATCTAATTGTCCATTACGTCTATGTATGTATGATGGTTCATATAGTTATAAAAAGTAATATCTAAACAGAAGGATGGATTGTTAAGGCTGTCTTGGATAAGACTTCGCTTCAAGGTCCGATAGCCTTTCTTATGTTGGTATGATATAAAGGAATGGAAATAATTTACAGTAAAAAATAGTAAATCTCTCGGAAGGGGTAACATGAGTGGGAATAACATGTGTTGGGAACGGGATTTCGAACCTGCATACGCTCCACGGTCAGGAAGGCGGCGAGGTTGGCCGTGAAGGTAGCCAACATAAGAACTACGAAGAGCCAGTAGGCGGCTACCAGTGTCCGCCCGCTCAAGGCCTTGGGCGCCTCTCCTCCGCCCTGAGGCGTGAAAGACGTCAGGGCGAACCAAAAGCTCTCTTTCAGGGTGAATTTCCTGTAAAGACAACATTGGGCTATGTGAAGCCCCTTTCAAGAGAAATAAGATGCCTCGCATTAAGTGAAAGAAACCCAAATTAAAAAAATGTATATTCAAATTCCATGCACGATTGAAGAATTAGCATGAGATTATTGGGAGGTCATGTGGTGCAAATGTTACCTATCGTACGTTACGGCTCGTGATCCTACAGCAGCCAAACTTTAATAAGTCTAGGGATACGACACAACTGCTGTTCTCAATAGCGAATCACCAGTATAACCCCTTAATAGGTAATGAGCACAAAAATAGAATCTTCATAGGACTGAAGAATAAAGACTAAGTATATATATATATAAATTTATATTAAATAAATCTCAAAAGCAAACAGATGATTATATGGTCACAATATATCACATTAAAAATATCACTGTAACTTCCAGACATTAAATCAATACTAAGAATAATTATGGCTATGACAGAACAAAAGAACTTAACTCCAACAAGTGTTATCTCCCTGGTTTCTGCTCAGCTACTGAACAAAATCACGCGAGAATCAAAAGAGATTGCCTCGCCCCGCGAATAAATTGCCAAAGTTACAATATTTATTATTTCAACAATGGAGCACTACATTGTGACAAGAGTAATCTTAAACTAACTTAATGAATAATTAGTACATATTGATATAGACAAACAAAAGTAATTATTCTTTACATAGTAATTAAAATATGCATACAGAAGGAAATAATGGCATGCACACCCCAGCAACGGACGATCCCACGACAATTTGCCAGATACAGTTCACTCAATTATTATTTCACTCTGTTACCCACTTATGATCACATATAAATCATTAGTTCCCGTGGGAAAACTGATCACACAAAGAAATAAACAATCATTCCCACGATACGCTGGGCCTAACGCCAACACTGTAACATGAATGTGCATTTGCATAGAACATATAAGTATAACAATATACATGCTTGTAATTTACATACAATTATAAATGTACATATTAATATATTCACTTACGTATCTTATAAGGGTACGTAACACTTCCACCTCCAAGAAAAAAAATGCAATGGATTGAAGATCAATGGCATTTTTTCAGAAGTAAAAATGTTAAGTAAAAAGAAACATTTCATTTATGGTACATCAAAACTTCTTGACAAAGCATCAGCAATAACATTTTGTCTGCCTGGAATATGTTTGATTTCTACATTAAATTCCTGCAAAAACAATGACCATCGCAGAATTCGTTGGTTCTTGACTTTCATCATATTTATAAAGATAAGGGGGTTGTGGTCTGTAAATACTAACACTTTATTTCCTGATAAGTAAATCTCAAACTTCTTGATTGACAATATAAGACCCAACGCCTCCTTTTCTACCACGGAATAATTTCTCTGAGCTGCATTAAATTTTCTGGAATAGTAATACACAGGATGCTCAATCTGGTCTAAACCAACTTGAATAAGCACAGCACCTATTCCAACATCTGACGCATCAATGTGTAATATAAATGGTTTATCAAATTGGGGACTAGCAAGAATAGGTGAGGTGGACAATATGCCCTTTAGGTTCTGAAAAGCATTCTGACAATCTTGTGTCCACTGAAACTTTACTTGCTTGCGTAACAAGTTTGTCAAAGGAGCAGCTACTGTTGAAAAATTTCTACAATAACGCCTATAGTATGCACACATACCAATAAACCGTTGGACTCCTTTCTTATTGGTCAACACTGGGTAGTCCACAATGGCTTGAATCTTATCTTGTAAGGGGATAATCTTACCTTGGCCTACCTCGTGTCCAAGATAAGTTATCGTACCTCTTGCCCAACTACACTTATTCATATTTATGGTTAACTTTGCGTTTTCCAACACTGTAAACAAGTTCTTAAGGCCTAAGAGATGATCGGCCCAATTCTTACTGTACAAAACAATGTCATCAAGGTAGGCCCTACAATCTGGCACATCCTTGAGTAAGAAATTCATAAGTCTTTGAAAAGTAGCAGGTGCATTTCTCAAACCGAATGGCATGACATTAAATTCATACGCACCATCAGGTGTAACAAAAGCAGTAACCTCTCTAGCATACTCTGTTAATGGAATTTGATAATACCCTTTTGACAAATCAAGCTTACTTACATATTCGGCATGACCTATGGACTCTATACATTCTTCCAACAAGGGTAAAGGAAAAACGTCCACTGTAGTGTTCTTGTTCAGTTTCCTGTAATCCACGCACAATCTCCAGGTTCCATCTGGTTTTGGCACTAACAAACACGGAGAGCTCCAAGTACTTTGACTTGGCCGAATGAAATCATGCTGGAGCAGATATTCCACTTCTGCTTGCATAATTTTCCTCTTTTCGGGATTCACTCGGTACGGATGTTGTCGAATGGGGGTGCTGTCCAGGAGCTGAATGTCGTGTGTGATGAGGTGGGTCTGGGTAGGAACCTCCCCAAACAGAGATGTATGGTTGTCCAGCAGAACCTGGAACTCATCACGTTGTTCCTCCTGTAAATGACATAGCATCTCCCTGCCATTGGAACTGGAACTGAGAAGTGGGATATTAACAACATGTCCCTCACTACAATTATCCTCAGGTGGTAACTCTTCCCGACTAAAACAAGCTACTACACCAGGTCCAACATAAGCTTTTAATCTGTTAATGTGTACAGTCATTTGGGGTTCTGAAAGATTAGGGTTAATTAGTTTATAAGTTAGGTCTCCCACCTTGTCTACCACTTGGTAGGGTCCTGCGAACTTATGGGACATGGAAGTCCCCATACGAGGTTTCAACACCAACACCAAATCTCCGACATCAAACGACCTTAGCTTAGCTTTGAACTTCTTGTCATATCGTACTTTCATGGCTTGTTGAGTCCTTCCCAGATGTTCTTTCGCCAACTCACGAGCCCGACACAACTTTGCCTTGACCTCACTCAAGTACAATCCGCTCTGATGAACAGAGACATCTCCCAACAACTTTTCTTGTAGCATTTTAAGAGGACCTCTTACTTGGTGACCAAACACTAGTTCAAAGGGTGAACAGCCCAATGACTCTTGTAGCCCTTCTCTAGCAGCAAACAACACAAAGGGGAGATTCTCATCCCAATTACGTGGATGAGTTTCTCCGGTTGTCTTCAGCATTTGTTTCAAAGTCTGGTGGAAACGTTCAAGTCCACCTTGGCTTTGGGGATGATATGGACTGGACAATTTGTGCCGAATCCCTCGGGATTCGCAAAAAGTTCTGAAAACTTTAGAAACAAAATTTCCCCCATTATCACTCTGAATAACTCTAGGCATTCCAAACAACGAAAAGAATCTTTCAAGACACTTGATGAGATTATGAGCCTTGGTATTCCGTAGAGCATAAGCTTCAGGAAATCTAGTAGTCATACACATGAGAGTGAACAAAAACATGTTACCCGATTTAGTCTTAGGTAAAGGACCCACACAATCAATTACAACATGAGTAAATGGTTCATCAGGAACTACAATAGGTTGCAATGGTGCTCTAGGTACAGATTGATTTGGTTTACCAACAATTTGACAGGGTATACAGTTATGACAATATCTGACCACGTCTTTCTTTAACTTTGGCCAGAAAAAATATTTACTTATCTTATGGTACATATTCGTGATACCTTGATGACCTCCCATGGGGTCATCATGTGCAGCCTGCAGGACCTGCCTACGATAATCATTGGGGACAACGAGTTGGGTTCTAATCTCACAATCCTCTGAAGAGGGAGTTCCCTTGGGTCTCCACCTTCTCATCAGAAGTCGATCCTTGAAGAAGAAACCCGTCCCTTCCTCCAATGCATCAATATTATCAGGAGCCTCAGAAATACACTTACTTAAACTAGGATCAGTAGTCTGTACAACACTTAAGGGCAATGACTCAGACTCAGCAGCGAGCGGGCAAGAACCTAGTAGCTTGATCTCTTTTCCCGATTGATCAGAATAAAATGGAGTCATAGCTACTTCGGCCTCACTCTCGACAACTGGCGCACTGGAGACAAGCGGGCAAGGTACAGATAGTTCAGCCTCCTCACCTTCACTTTCCTTGTGATTTAGGTTCGGCGGGGCTTCTACTACGGCCTCACTCTCATCATCCAGTCGAGTCATAAAAGAATCCTCAAGATCCACCTCCCACTCCTTTACTGAAGGGGTCCTGGTCTTGGGATCAGCAACCTTAGTGAAGACAGGATTACTCTCACCTGTTTTTCCCATTGATCTAGTAACAACACAAGCAGGGTAAATAATATCATCATCTGCTTCCGGTTGAGCTAATACATTATGGGGTTTAGTTAACATGATGGGACACTTGGGCCCTACAACCATTTGGTTGCCAAAATCATTACCTAGAATAATGTCTACCCCAGGAATGGGCAGTTGTTTACTTACACCAACATTACACCATCCTGAAGTATATTTAGAATCAAGGTTAACTTGCAATAAGGACACTGGTTGCACACTACCGGCAATACCTTGGAGAAGCACAACTTCACCCAGATCTCGGGTGTCAACATCATCAAGTACCTTCTGGGTAATAAGAGACTGTGAAGCTCCAGTATCACGGAGTAATTGAACAGTCTTATGTCTACCATTAGTACATAATAAGGTACCTGTGGAAATATAGGGTTTGAATTCAGCCATCCAATTGGGACTGACTGTAATACATGAAGAATTAATAGGTTGCACTCCTTTACTCATAATAAGACCAGTTGGTCGGAGTTCAGGATGCAAACTAAAACATGAAGAAATCACATGCCCCCTTCTCTTACAATGGGTACAATGTTTGACAGTGGACACACTGGTAGAACCAACTGCCGGTTTAGAATTAGCATTACTAGGCTTAGATGATCCTGGCAATGGAGTAACCATCTTAGGGTTAGTAAGAGAAGAGTTCACGGGAGTAACTGTCGCACCAGGAGGAGACTTATACTGATAAGGAGTACGGTGAGCATTGAAATTTACTCTACGACTAGACTTAGGTGAAGTGGCCGTAAACGGGGCCTTAGTCAGCAACTCATGCTCATCCGCGAGCTTTGACAGCTCATCAATATCGGTTACATTCTTTTGTTCTGCCATAAAAGTAGACAACTGGTCTGGAAGACAGGACAATACTTCTTCCATTATGAGAAGATTCTTTAGAGCATCAAAATCAGTGACTGCAAGTGACTTTAACCATCTGTTGCAAAAATTCGTCTTCTGACGAGTAAAATCGGCTATTGTCTGATCCTTGATTCTCCTTAGGTTCCTGAACTTTTGCCTGTGTGCCTCTGGATTTAGCTGGTATGCATTGAGGATGCTTTTCTTTACAAAGTCATAATCAAAACTATGAGCGTCAGGGAGGGATGTGAAAACCTCCTGACTACGCCCCTTGAATTGAGACTGCATAATGGCTACCCACTGATCCCTTGGCCAGTTCATACTGATGGCAATTTTATTAAAATGTGCAAAGAAAACCTCAGGATCTTCCTCATTGAACTTGGGCAACTCTATATACTTATTCATCCTGATGGGATTATTATCACTATTTGTTGAAACATTACTAGTATTTCCATGCCCAGCTGCCATACGCTGTGATTCAAGCCTGAAGTTAGTGTCAGCCATTTGTTGTTGAATCTCTAATTGCCTAGTTTGTTCCTCGGCTTGTTGCTTCTTTGTGGCTTCAAGTTGCAACTCAATTAAACCTCTCTGGTTTTGTGCCGCAATTTCTAAACGCCTAGTCTCCAGCTCCCTTTGCTGAGCTTCAGCCTCTAATATTTTCTGTTCTTTTTGAGCTTCAAGCTCTAATTGGCGAGCTTCTAACTCAAGACGCTTTAACGTCATCTGATCACTCGACTCCTCTCTTAACTCTTCTAGAATTTCTTCCTCTAAATCCCCATTCTCAACAAAATGCGTCACAATGACTTTCAATATTTGGGCTTTAACCATTCTATTGCTGGCGGTCAAATCCAAATGATTTGCCATTTGTATTAACTCAGTCTTTTTAAGGTTCTGAATCCCTTCAAAGTCTGGGTGAGCCACCAACGCTGCAACTTTCTCCTCCATCGTTACTAACACTTGGCACTTGATTCACAAAAATAATTAACACAATGGCACTGCACTACACTTCACTGTAAAATTGTCACCACACTGAAAATTCGCTTGGCCTCACTGCACAAACAAAATATATAGGATGACTTACCTCAAAATCGTGAAACGTTGTTACTTGACACACAGGAAGGCTTGCTTGGCACATGGAATAGTTCTTAAGAAACACACAGAGACACTTGACACACTGGTACCTAGGAAGGCAAGGTTAGATTAGCATAGTTAAGTTAAAATGGGACAATATTTCCCGGCACAGGCCCCCATAACTCTTTGTTACCTATCGTACGTTACGGCTCGTGATCCTACAGCAGCCAAACTTTAATAAGTCTAGGGATACGACACAACTGCTGTTCTCAATAGCGAATCACCAGTATAACCCCTTAATAGGTAATGAGCACAAAAATAGAATCTTCATAGGACTGAAGAATAAAGACTAAGTATATATATATATATAATTTATATTAAATAAATCTCAAAAGCAAACAGATGATTATATGGTCACAATATATCACATTAAAAATATCACTGTAACTTCCAGACATTAAATCAATACTAAGAATAATTATGGCTATGACAGAACAAATGAACTTAACTCCAACAAGTGTTATCTCCCTGGTTTCTGCTCAGCTACTGAACAAAATCACGCGAGAATCAAAAGAGATTGCCTCGCCCCGCGAATAAATTGCCAAAGTTACAATATTTATTATTTCAACAATGGAGCACTACATTGTGACAAGAGTAATCTTAAACTAACTTAATGAATAATTAGTACATATTGATATAGACAAACAAAAGTAATTATTCTTTACATAGTAATTAAAATATGCATACAGAAGGAAATAATGGCATGCACACCCCAGCAACGGACGATCCCACGACAATTTGCCAGATACAGTTCACTCAATTATTATTTCACTCTGTTACCCACTTATGATCACATATAAATCATTAGTTCCCGTGGGAAAACTGATCACACAAAGAAATAAACAATCATTCCCACGATACGCTGGGCCTAACGCCAACACTGTAACATGAATGTGCATTTGCATAGAACATATAAGTATAACAATATACATGCTTGTAATTTACATACAATTATAAATGTACATATTAATATATTCACTTACGTATCTTATAAGGGTACGTAACAATAATTTTGAAATTATCAATGGTGCTTGCATCAATAAACGTACTCATTTACTTCATTCCATTTTCTAATATTCTTATATTAAAAATAACTTTCTAACATCTGCAGGTACTTATTAATTAAGTGCTAGATGAACCGGGCGCATCAGGTGAAGGAAACGGTGCCCAATTATTTGTCTCGGCCGGGATTCGAACCCGGTGACGATGTGGGTTGGGGGAGGGGGGGGAGAGGGAGGGAGTTTTCAGGGAAAAGCACCAAGCCATTACGACTATATTGCACTGGGAAGGGGTCAAGATAAGGATTTGGGATGGGACGGGGGAAAGGAATGGTGCCAACCACTTGGACGGTCGGGGATTGAACGCCGACCTGCATGAAGCAAGACCGTCGCTGTACCGTCCAGCCCAAGTGGTTGGGCAAATGAATATACGTTTGCTCAACCACTTAGGGGGGGGGAGAAGTCTTGAAGGAAATAGAGAGAGATCTGATAAATACTGACACAGAACACCGATGAAACATTGATATGTTTACAATATAACGTTTCGACATTCAGAGCAAGAGATCAACCTCATATATGTTGTACATTAGCATGTCCTCTAATGTGTATGTAAACTATAAGTAGAAAGGACACTTGAAACACAGAACCTATCAGATCAACTCAATGAGCTACTAATATATCGCTCATTCTGTATGCTTAATTGCTAAACGAACAAAAAAAGAGTGACATGATATTAAATTATATTTGTTGGTGCGTCAGAGGGGAAAAGCCTGTAGGTACACTAAATAAACACTGACCAATGGAGATGCCGGACTGGTCAAAATATGGAGCCACGAAGTCGATGACTTCCTCTCTTTCCGAAGTCATGGTGAGTGGTGCGATAATGATGTCAGTGACCTGTGGAGTGGGACCAGAGTATTTTAACACACTCTCCCGGTTATAATAACAATAACATTGGTATTACAACCAATGGTATTGAGCCACTCAATACCAAGACTAGCATCTGCTTGACAATAGCGATATCCGGCTGTGTTCACTGAATATCAGGTACATCAATTGCAACAACCACCCATTAGTAACTACACACACACATCATAACGACATTCAGGAACAATAATAACATCAGTTTCTCACTCGTTAACAACAACAGCAACAATATTAGTATGATAATACATAATATGATAATTTGTGTATTACTGAATAGGGAGACGATTAGAATTTTTATTATGAGGTAGATGATTCAACTTTATTGTAAGTTAGATGATTATAACTTTATAACGAGGTTGATTAAAACTTTATTATGAGGTATATAATTATAACTACAGTATATTATAAGGTAGATGATTAAAACTTTATTATGAAGTATATGAGTAGACCTTTATTATGAAGTATATGAGTAAACCTTTATTATAAGATAGATGATCATAATTTTATGATGATGTAGATGATCATAATTTTATTATGAAGCTGATGATTATAACCTTATTACGAGGTAGATGAGTAGATTATTAGTTGAATTTTAACTACATTTGCAGGCAGAAGAGGCATTGTGTTTTTATAACTAATATTTATCTTCCATGGCGTATACATACATACAAACACAGTATTCTCCACAGTTTAGGGAACCAGCATCAGCTAAACTCGCTTCAGTCGCTCTAAGGCGACCTGGTTACCTAAATCTTGTCACGCGGATGTGACGGGACGGCCCGACGGAGTCGTGGTCACTGATGTGTGTGTGTGTTCCAGATCGAGAGATGGGGGCTCTTCCAGTCCCCCCATCAGTAGTAGGCAACAGTAATTTCACGCCTTTCCTTGCCATGTCGAGACTGTGGTGCGATCCAGATTGAAAATGGAATTTGGGTAATTATAGCGGGCGCCATTGTTCTTGTATACACAGTACTTTTATGTTTTAATTGTCGTGGCGCACTTGCTATAGAGTTCTTTATATTGGAATCTTTACTTGGTGGCACCGGGTGAAGTAATTGTCTGGTTTTATTCTTAATTTCTTCATCTGTTTATCCGAGTACACTGATTGTTAATTATTAGGTGGTTCAACCGGCCCTAACCCTATGAATGACAGGTTATTCTATTATTAGTACTTTTCCTCAGCATAGACCTGAGGGGGCGGGGGCATCTGGGCCACTTCTTGGGGAATTGGAAATGAAGACCACTGGCAGACTTGAAGTTCTTGACATTAACTCTTGACCAAAACTATGTAAAGCCTTCATATAGTGTATGATGGCTGCATGAATACAGATGGACCTAATTATGTTAATAAAAATGTAGTTAAAGGGTTAAAGCAGAGCCTATATAAGCTGTGTAGGTGAACGATTAGTGAAGAATGTTAAGATGTACGTGTATTGTACACGTTAAGATGTACGTGTATTGTACACGTTAAGATGTACGTGTATTGTACATGTTAAGATGTACGTGTACAATATATTTCAACTATGATGGTAGAAAGTGACATTTGTCTCACCCCGTTAGATAGGTCGCCGACGAGGCCGTTCCAAGAGCCGTTGTTTTGCCTGACGCCATATTGACCGTCTTCAGGAAATTTGAACTCATAGTCAAAGTTCATGTAGAGGGCGAGGCGGGCGGCAAGCTCGACACAGTAGCCCTCGTACTGCTGGTCTCCGGGGGACTCGCTCTTTGAGCTGACCCATGGCCGCGCCTGCAGCGCACATTCACAGTTGGATAAAAATAAATAAATGATAACTAGGCAACTGGATAGATAACCAGTTTAAAAGATAATGTATAAGAATACAAATTATTAATACATAAACATATACTGATAAATAAAATACAGTACAAGGCAAATAGAATGCTAAAATAAACAAGAAAGAATGGAAAATAGAGGTGTAATCCACATGGAGGGAGAATGTACCATACCATGACAGTGCCGATTTTAAAATGCCTCTTGATGGGGGAGTTCTTGAACTGCGGGTTAAGTTGCAGCTTCTCGCTGGTGCTCCAGCTGCCCAAAGCTGACGAAGTGCTGGTGTTGATGGCCGTGATGTCAAGCTTCAGTTGTGGGACTACCTGCAGCTTGTCTGCTTCCCACTCTACCTGCTTCCACTCTCTCAGCGACTGCATCGACCGCAAGAATGTAAATGGTGTAAAAAAAACTAAATTTGCATGCAACAAAAAGTGAACTGCACCGCTTAACATTCAAGTCAGCTAAGAAATCAGAAACACTCAAAAGTCAGAAAGCACTTGTATAGGAAATGTATAATGTGTCTAGATCTGACACCTATATTTATGGGTAGCACTAAACGTCCACCTGTGTAATATGGTCATTGTTAGGTTATATGGTCATGTTAGGCTATCGTTACTTAAGAAAGGGAGTTACAATCCTAAGCTCTTCATTCACTCTGTAACTGTGAGCAGGAACTTGGAACTTGGTCATTCTCTCCAACATTACATTACTGAATGTCCAGTCATTAGACTTCAGACCTACCGGTATGAGATACCTGAATCTTTGCAAATTCATTATCCACTCTAGGATTCTTGAGGTTTGAGTACGTTTTGTTTACACCCGATGCTTCTGTTCACCTAGTAATAAATAGGTATCTGAGAGTTAATCAACTGTTATGACTCGTATCCTAAGGAATGTCAGACGATGGTCAGGGTACTGTGATAAGCCAACTAGGATTCCTGCTCCCGACAATGGAAGCCTATCAACAGAAAGAGCCACTGGATGTGACTGATGAATTATTGTGACTTGAGTGACTTCGTGTGTCCCCTTCTCACCAGTTGTGGGTATTTTTTATATCCTGACTCAATGTGAACCCGATGACCTTTGAAATTTAAATTTAAATAAGTTTATTGAGGTAAAATACACACAAAGGGATGAGGTAGCTCAAGCTATTCTCACCCCGTTCAGTACATCGTGTTAATACATACATAGACACACATCACAAACAATAAACATATTACCAAACATTCTGAGATGACCCATTGTGACCCCGATGAACATTGTGTGACTTAAATAGCCTCTGGTAACCTATGTCTTGATGCCACATGACAAAATTATTTAGCAACAATTGAAGTTGCTCACCGTCTGAAGGGCGGAATAGAAGGAGGTGGTCGAAGGAGGATTTGGGGGCGTTTCGCCACACGATCCCCGGACGTTCTTGCCAGCATTACCCTTCAGCACGTTCGTCAGTGTCAGCATGGAGTTCATCGTCATCTCCCTGGAGATCTGGGGTGAGGAAAACTTATTATTCCTGAGGGGCAATGTTCATAAGGAGGCTAATATACTGCTCATGATTAGGTCAATATACTGCTCATGATTAGGTCAATATACTGCTCATGATTAGGTCAATATACTGCTCATGATTAGGTCAATATACTGCTCATGATTAGGTCAATATACTGCTCATGATTAGGTCAATATACTGCTCACCAGGACAAAATACTACTTATAGGGTCAACATTGTGTTCATGAGAGGACTAACATTATTCACGAGGAAGTCAACATACTGTTAATACACGAGAGAGAGGTAACATACTATGAGAGTGTCACAGTCACAGAGAGACTGACGGTTCCTGACGGTGCAGCACACTTCCTGTGCAGGAGCTACGAGGGTGACGCTCTGCAGCCCGCGCAGCGCCCCCCGGCTGTGGTGGCGGCAGCAGCCAACCGTTGGGTTAGATGTTGTTGTGAGAGATGGACACAACAGACGGGGCCAGGAGATGTGAGGGAAGGGCATAACATCAGTTTAGGTTAGGGTTTTAAGGAGCATGTCATCACATTCAGAGCAACACTACGCACCCCCTTTCAATTACTTGCTCATAATTGTCACATAACAATTCAAACATGTCCAGCTATGGTGTTAGGTGGAGTGCCCGCTACACTAAAGGACTACACAATATGTAACCACTACTGTATTTTCATAACCCGTCACTATAAATGTTGAGAGGCTTGTAAAGGAGCCTCTACTACCTGTATTGTCCGATACACTCACTTTTTTTTTGTACACAGGTGGGTACAGGAGCAGATGCCTTCAGACTCCTTTTTAGCCGGCGAGAGGTTTTTCTTACCATAACTCATGGTAAACCGTATCCTACTAGTTTTTCCTACAACACAGGTCCCCAAATACGTCTGGCTGAATAAGGTTGAATAGATAATAATTGGTGACTGGTCTGTAGTTAAGTGCCTCTTCTCTATCTCTTTTCTTGCAAATTTGTACCACATTTGGCTGTTTCCACTTGGGGAATTCTCTTTGTAATTGAATAATTAAAGATCAAGCTGAGGGTCTGTGTTGCTTCTTTTAAGCCATAAAGATCACCAACTTGTCCTGAAGGAGGACACCTCCAGCATGTAGCAGCTGTCCATTTCCCAGGTACATATAGTAGTAATGCTAATATAGCAGTAATGCTAGGTGAACATTATGGGTGAAAGAAACTCTGCCCATTTGTTTCTTCTTTGGCCGGGAATCGAACCCGGGTCCTTAGGACTACGACACCCGAACGCTGTCTACTCAGCTGCGAAGCCCCTACTAACGTCCCCCCTGTGTGTGTATTGTATTTACTAGGCCAACTACTGACCATTCCCAGGATACATCTCACAACAGCTGTTTAACTTCCCAAATATCAATTTATTGCCAGGTGAACATCTGGTATAAAAATAAAATAACTTGCCCAATCGCTTCCGTTCTGCCGCGGAAATTCAGTCCGCGATCCTTGGTGAAATTGAAATACGTTTATTGAGGTATAAATACAGTGAGGTGATAGCCCACTGCGTCACAGGACCCAGCCATTGTGTCTGGCCAAGACGCGCCTGATACCGTAGGCTCGTAACGATGGCTATTACTCATAAAGGAGTAGTGAATATTTTAGGAGCAGCCCAGCGTGCCTTACGTGAGAAATGGCCATCATTACCTGTCTATCGTGTCCCACGCGCGCGCGCGTGTGTGTGTGTGTGTGTGTGTGTGTGTGTGTGTGTGTGTGTGTGTGTGTGTGTGTGTGTGTGTGTGTGTGTGTGTGTGTGTAATTACCTAAGTGTAATTACCTAAGTGTAGTTACAGGATGAGAGCTACGCTCGTGGTGTCCCGTCTTCCCAGCACTCTTTGTCATATAACGCTTTGAAACTACTGACGGTCTTGGCCTCCACCACCTTCTCACTTAACTTGTTCCAACCGTCTACCACTCTATTTGCGAAGGTGAATTTTCTTATATTTCTTCGGCATCTGTGTTTAGCTAGTTTAAATCTATGACCTCTTGTTCTTGAAGTGCCAGGTCTCAGGAAATCTTCCCTGTCGATTTTATCAATTCCCGTTACTATTTTGTATGTAGTGATCATATCACCTCTTTTTCTTCTGTCTTCTAGTTTTGGCATGTTTAATGCTTCCAACCTCTCCTCGTAGCTCTTGCCCTTCAGTTCTGGGAGCCACTTCGTAGCATGTCTTTGCACCTTTTCCAGTTTGTTGATGTGCTTCTTAAGATATGGGCACCACACAACAACTGCATATTCTAGCTTTGGCCTAACAAAAGTCATGAACAATTTCTTTAGTATATCGCCATCCATGTATTTAAATGCAATTCTGAAGTTAGAAAGCATCGCATAGGCTCCTTGCACAATATTCTTTATGTGGTCCTCAGGTGATAGTTTTCTATCTAGAACCACCCCTAGATCTCTTTCTTTATCAGAATTCTTTAAAGATTTCTCACATAATATATAGGTTGTATGGGGTCTATGTTCTCCTATTCCACATTCCATAACATGACATTTATTAACATTAAATTCCATTTGCCAGGTGGTGCTCCATATACTTATTTTGTCCAGGTCTTCTTGAAGGGCATGACAATCATCTAAATTTCTTATCCTTCCTATTATCTTAGCATCATCAGCAAACATGTTCATATAATTCTGTATACCAACTGATAGATCATTTATGTACACAATAAACATCACTGGTGCAAGAACTGAACCCTGTGGTACTCCACTTGTGACATTTCTCCATTCCGATACATTGCCTCTGATTACTGCCCTCATTTTTCTATCAGTCAGAAAATTTTTCATCCATGATAGAAGCTTACCTGTCACCCCTCCAATATTTTCCAGTTTCCAGAACAACCTCTTATGTGGAACTCTGTCGAAAGCCTTTTTTAGGTCCAGATAGATGCAGTCAACCCAACCATCTCTTTCCTGTAATATCTCTGTGGCTCGATCATAGAAACTGAAAACTTCCTAACATCTCTGTGACTCATCTGAGTTTCAAGCTTCCATCCATGTCCTCTCGTTCTGTTACTATTCCGTGTGAACATTTCGTCTATGTAAGTAAAAGAAACTCTGCCCATTGTTTCTCGCCGGCGCCTGGGATCGAACCCAGGACCACAGGATCACAAGTCCAGCGTGCTGTCCGGTCAGCCGACCGGCTCCCTAAAAAAAATAAGTCGAGAACGAATCAACCTGAAGCGATGGCGGTGATGGTACTGATGGTGATACTGATTGTTAATTGAACTGATTGTGTGTGTGTGTGTGTGTGTGTGTGTGTGTGTGTGTGTGTACTCCCCTAATTGTGCTTGCGGGGGTTGAGCTCTGGCTCTTTGGTCCCGCCTCTCAACTGTCAATCAACTGGTGTACAGGTTCCAGAGCCTACTGGGCTCTATCATATCTACACTTGAAGCTGTGTATGGAGTAAGCCTCCACCACATCACTGCCTAATTGTGTGTGTGTGTATTTACTATTTGTATCTGCAGAATCGAGCTATTAGCTCTTCATCCTCGTCTTCCTAACCCATCTATTTTCATCTATTATATCTACTACATATATATCTCTCTAACAGGAGCGCACACACACACACACACACACACATCCCCAGGAAGCAGCCCGTAGCAGCTGTCTAACTCCAAGGTACCTATTTACTGCTAGGTGAACAGGAACATCAGGGTGAAAGAAACTGCCTATTTGTTTCTGCCTCGGCCATGAATCGAACCCGGGCCCTTAGTACTACGACTTCCGAACGCTGTCCACTCAGCCTCGAAGCCCCAGTCTCTCTCTCTCACACACTCTCTCTCTCTCTCTCTCTCTCTCTCTCTCTCTCTCTCTCTCTCTCTCTCTCTCTCTCTCTCTCTCTCTCTCTCTCTCTCTCTCTCTCTCTCTCTCTCGGAGTCTATACAGCCCGGCACATACTAAGCAACATGAGACTTGGCGACTCACTCAAACTGATGAGACTTGTGGTCAGTAGCGACGAGGGTCCAGCGAGAGTCGCGGGTCACCAGGCTCTTCTCCACCGCCTGTAACGTTACATTGGGTCAATTGGGGATCACACAAGGCCAGTGTAGGTCACATAGGGTCAGTGGGGGATATACAGGGTTAATGGCGGTCACACATAGCCAGTGGAAATCACTTAAGAGTCAGTTTAGGTCGCACAGGATCAGTGGGGGCGGGGGGGAGGAGTCGTATACAGTGTCAGTGAAGGTCACATCACGTCTTACACGTCAAACATGGCTCATCTAGGTCAAATAAGAGGGACCATTTAATTAAAATCAAATTAGAGGTCAAGACGCTCTTTTTATCAGATATTCAATGTTGCCAGGATGCGTTGATGTGCAGGGAGAATCTCTAATTAAACGAGAAAGAAGCATTACTGCATTTCTTGTTATCCTACAGCCAGTCACCCTCTCCGTCGTGAGGTGCCCAATCACCTGGGCTGGACGGTAGAGCGACGGTCTCGCTTCATGCAGGTCGGCGTTCAATCCCCGACCGTCCAAGTGGTTGGGCACCATTCCTCTCCCCCCCCCCTCCCTGTCCCATTCCAGATCCTTACCCTGACCCCTTCCAAGTGCTATATAGTGGTAATGGCTCGGCCCTTTCCCCCCTGATAATTCCCTTCCCTCCGTCGTGAGGTTGTCTCACCCTCCGTCACCCACCTTGGAGAAGAGGAGGGAGAGGTGGTCCGTGGTGCCGAGGATGACGTAGTAGGAGGGGGAAGGTCTCATCTTCTTGAGCATCTCGGTGGTGGACTGGTCGACCCCAGCCAGGACGATCACCCGCACCGCCGACCCCTCTACCAGGTAGTACAGCGCCTGGTCTAACTCTGCCCTCAACCACAATAAGTTTAAAATAAACAATGAAATAGATTTAAAATATATAAATATTAGAAATATATCACTGTAACGAGAGTAGAAGTTCTCAAGACTGAACTCAACAAACAGCTTCACAGAACAAGCAATCACCAACGGAAGACTGTTCACAGACCAGGCTGCGGCTATTTTACCGCAGTATGGCCTGTGTTATGGTTAATATTTAACCACAATATCGTGGATAATAACATTTCATTCACATAGACCATCGGAGCATGGAAGCGCGGACCACAAGAGCAGCAGCCCCACAGTCCTAAAATGATAAATTTGTATCCTACAAAAAATATTACATTTTTTTCTTGTCGCTTCAGGTCACTTGCGTCTCAGCAACGACGGAGAGATGACTGGAACAGAAGGATTCTGACGCACAGGAAGATGAGAGTCACGAGAATCTTAACGATTGGGAGGCGAGGGATGAGAGGTAAAGATGGGATACTAACATATAGCAAGAACATAAGTATACTATTTCCTAAATGAGAAGACCTGAGGATACAGAGATAAGGCAATTATGAGATGAAAGCGCTAGGCCAGTATGATTATATAGCACTTGGCTTGGAAGGAAAATGAGGACAAGGAGCTGGGATGTGAGGACGGGGTGAAGGAACGGAGTGCTGGGAGAGTAATTAGACCAGGACGAGCAGAGACTATACTGGTTGAAGAAATTGTTTATGTAATAATCTAAGATGAGGTCTGATAAAGACCTTTTGTGCCCTCTGTAATGCTTTTGCGCTACCGCTCACAGGATGAGTAAGGGGTGCACAATAAACTAGCCCCTCCCTCCCCCCCGGCGGCAACAATCATATACTGACCGGCCTCTGAGCCGAAGATTAGAGCGGCGTCGGTGGCGTTGCGGCTCTCGAGGAGTTGGTCGGTGGCGGCCATCCACTGGTAGTTGGACACCTGCACCCTGACGTAGGGGATGCCGTAGGCTGCTGCTGTGTCCTGAGCGTGCGTCCACCCGCCAGCCGTCACGTCTACCACCACCGCCGCCCCGCTGTACAACGCTGAGCATACTGTACGGCCACAAAACAAATGCTTTATTTAGTTTACTAATATTATGCGCCCCATACCTATCCTGGTGGAAATGCAACAGAGGTAAATAATGGGCTCAGGATCTGGTGAATCTACAGTTAATTAGCATAATCTAGTCTACAGCAATAATTTACACAACTCCACCCGACGGATGATCCGAGGGTGTGTACACCGCCCCGCCCGACGGATGGTCCGAGGGTGTGTACACCGCCCCGCCCGACGGATGGTCCGAGGGTGTGTACACCGCCCCGCCCGACGGATGGTCCGAGGGTGTGTACACCGCCCCGCCCGACGGATGGTCCGAGGGTGTGTACACCGCCTCGCTCACAATACACTCATAACTACAGACTTACATTTCTGTTGGCCGTCTTCCTCATTATCGAGCGACACCTTTACCACCTCCTGTGAGAGGGTCAAGCCTGTCTCCTTCTGTGCCTGCGAGACGGCCTCGTCCAGCCAGCCTGCGCCCTCCTGCAGCGACTCGTCGATGGTACTCACTGCAGCAGGAAAAACGGGTAATCACAGCATTAAGAATTCATCTCAGGAGAGTCCCCGGCGGCAGCGTGGTACACCCTTGGGGCCTGAATAATATATTTAGAAGTATGCACTTGTCAGGTACCGGAGCACGCTACGACAGGACATTGTGGTAATCCTAAGTTAGATCAAGCCCCCAGCATGTCCTGATAATAAGGAATTTACATACTTGTATGACTCCTAGGTTAGGTTAGGTCCCCAGACAGTTCCTCCTACCAATGAATTTGCATGTATGTATGACAGACTGAGTAAATGATGTCAAGAGTAAGGGACTACTAAAATGCTTGTAGGATCTACCTCACAAAATTTGTTAACCTAACTCGTTCTTAAATCATCCGTTATATTCCATGCAGTCAGTACAATAGGATGCATTAGCAAGAACAGTCTTCTAACTATTACAAGGGGTACTGCGATTATTTTAAGTGTTAGAAGGCCTCGTAAAGTTGTTATTCAATATAATGACGAGTTGTGTTCCATGTACAATGGTAGAGTAGGCCTATATATCTCAGACGGTGATGAGGATACTTGCCTATGGTAAGCTGGGCCAGAGCCGTCCTCACTAACATCAGGAGGCACAAGAGTGAGCCCATTCGAGAATGTGCCGCCATGTCCGCTTCCTGGTGCTGTAGTGGTACTGCTGCTGGTGCTGCTACTGACGGCGGTGACGATGTTGGCGGAGGTAATGGCGGGAGATGAACATTGGGACGGCGTCTCAAGCACCGCCTCGGGGCAACTCCTCACCTTCACACTGTCAATCCTCTCAATCTTTCCATACCTGATAACCTGTTTGTGTCTTGAAAATTATAATAATAACTTATTATTATCTGTCATTAAGGGAATTCGCATCGTTTAGGAAGCTCTTATTCTATCGTTTAGGGAGTATGCCCTAAACATTTCAGCATGCATTCCCGTTCTCTTTCTGTTTTTATTGATAGCTTCTAACGGACCGTTAGTGTCTGATTTTTGGGCGTGTTCATAGTCGCATTGTTTATGTCTCGCCTGTCCTTGAAACTTGTTTTTATTAATTGCTGAACTATATTAAATATTTATGCTCTTAATACTTAGATTCCTGGATGGGCAATATTACATCTTTTGGTCGAAATATAGTGACTACGGGAAGCCCAGTATAGCGTCTTACCACTTGTCAGTCAACATAATCAGGTTATACAGTGTGGGCACAACAATTGAACGTGATTCATCGTTGATTCAACGGCGATTCAGTGATCATTCGACGTTCACCGTTCATTCGACATTGAATGAACGTTAATAACGTTCATTCAACGTCGAACCAGCACCACTCTTGGATATTGTGCCACTGTTTACTCTGTTGACCAGACCACACACTAGAAGGTGAAGGGACGACACGTTTCGGTCCGTCCTGGACAAGTCTCAAGTCGATTGTGGATTGACCATTCTCACAATCGACTTGAGAATGGTCCAGGACGGACCGAAACGTCGTCGTCCCTTCACCTTCTAGTGTGTGGTCTGGTCAACATTCTTCAGCCACGTTATTGTGACTCGTCGCCTGCACTGTTTACTCTATTACAAGGCTGCATGGGTTGTTCTGTGGGAGGCAGACACTCTAGCTGGGTAGGTTACACTTCAGTGTTTGTTACAGATTGGGAGCTTAAAAAGTGTGAATAGTAACAGCTAGATTAAGTGCTGACTTCAGACTAACACTCGGCCCACTTCGAGCAGCGTTTCACAACCTTTGTACCCTTGAAATAATTCCGGGTCATACTTTAGATAAACACATACACGGATGTCATTGTCACATGAAAGGAGATGATTTCTGTCTTTGCTCTTGATACTGGTTAAATACGAAAAATTAAACATAAAAATAACTAAAAAGTACATTTGCATATGATTAGAATTAGCCTATTTATGACTATCTCTAGTGGAACCCCTAGTTACCTTCAGGGTTCCGTGGAACCCGGGTTGAGAAGACGAGGGGCTAGATTCACGAAAGTACTTACGAACGTGTACATCTTTCCTTAATCTTTGACGGCTTTGGTTACATTTATTAAACAGTTTACAAGCATGAAAACTTCCCATTTAACGGTTGTTATTGAAATAAACATCTTCCTGGTGCTTCGGAGCTCATTAACTGTTTAATAAGTGGAAACAAAGCCGCCAACGATTGAGAAAAGATGTACAGGTTCGTAGGTGCTTGCGTAACTGCTTCGTGAATCTGGCCAGAGGACACGACAGTGTAAGTAAGTGCATCATAACCCTTTGGACAATATTTGGTATATAATACATCTGACGACTCGTGTCCTTGGCACTGTTAACCTGCGATGGTCGGGTTTTTACTTATATTTCTCGTCCTTTACAAGTTCCGAGGCTGACGTTGACATTTAGACATTACTTGTAAGATTAACTAGAGCTCTCAACAAGATATAAGTTTGATATAACAACAACTGACATAAGTTTGGGCAACTTATCATGATATTGTCACTGTGATATTTGAGATCGAGAGCATTGACTGTGTGTGTGTGTGTGTGTGTGTGTGTGTGTGTGTGTGTGTGTGTGTGTGTGTGTGTGTGTGTGTGTGTGTGTGAAAGGGAGAAACAAACAAGTAGAGAAGTCACTGGGCATAACTACTCACGAAGAGTTACGAGGAACACTACGAAAAAGCGGGAGAGCGGTATATTAAATTTGTACCAGAACACAGCTCCAATATTGATGGTACGAGTGTTTGTGGAACGCTCGAGAACTGTGTACCTACCTAATGTGTGTGTGTGTGTGTGTGTGTGTGTGTGTGTGTGTGTGTGAGTCGAGAATATATAGCCACTGTACTGAAAGTGGCTATATATTAGAAAAAGTTCTTCCTAATGTCTCAGTGACTCATATGGGTACTCAGTTTCCATCTGCGTTTTCTTGTGCGAGTACCACTCGTGCTAAATAGTTTGTCATTATCTACCCCATCAGTTTCCCCTGAGAATTTTGTATGTCCCCAATATCGCTTCTGTCTTTCAGCGAAATGAAGTTTAATTCCTCTAGCCTTTTCTCATAGATCATACCTCTCCTTTCGGGAACTAGTCCAGTGGCATGCCCCTTAACCTTCTCCAACTTTGTTTTGTGCTTGACTCGATTTGGACTCCACGCTGGAGCTGCATGCTCTAGGAATGATGTGTGTGTGCTCACCTAGATGAGCTTGCATGCTCGAGGATCTGCTCTTAGCTCCGTCTTTCGATCATCAATAGTTCAGTGCAGTGGCTCTTTTCATTCGTTTTTCTTATCATATTTACATTTCAAGTTGTCTCGAATTGCCTTCGACAACTTCCTCATTCAGTCCGTTCCACTTATATACGACTCTTAGGCTGAAAAAGTTCTTTCCGGCATCCCTGTGATTCATCTGTGTTTCCAGTTTCCAATTATGTCTTCTCGTTCTACTTTTCCTTAATTTAAACATTGCTTCTATATCTACTTTGGCAATCCCTCTTTAGTATCTTGTACGTCACTTTCATGCCTACCCTATTCCTGCTTTCCTCCAGTGTAGTGAGGTCCAGTTTCCTCAATTTGTCTTCATTCCTCACTCCCCTTAGCTCAAGAACGAACCTTGCTGCATATTTTTGGAGCTTTTCTAAGTTTTGTTTTGTGCTTCTTTAATAGGGGTTCCATGCTGGAGCAGCATACTCAATAATAGGTCTGACAAAGGATGTATACAACGCTCGGAAGGGATCTTTGTCCAGGTTCCTGGAGGATAACGGGACGTTTGCCAGTATGGTATATGCTGCCCGCGTTATCCTGCCGATGTGTGCCTCTGGTGTTAGATCTCCAGTCATGTCCACTCCTAAGGCTTTCTCTTTTTCAGAAGTTGGAAGTTGCCTTCTCTTCACCCCATACGTTATTTGAGGTCTTCTTGCTCCAATTACTGTCCTCACAACCTCGCATTTGTCAGGGTTAAAGTCTAGTAGCCACTTCACAGACCATCTCTGGAGATTGTCTGGTCCATCTTGTAAGGTTTTGCAGGCCTCCTCAGTTCTGATTCGCCTCATTAGTTTAGCATCGTTAGCAAACATGGATAAGAATGAGCTTAACTTCATCTACTGGATCGTTTTCATATATTAGAACCCTGTATGCCACATGAGTCAGGTATGTTCTAGATTATCTAGCACCAGCGTAGAGTCCTTATCTCCTTATGTTTAAAATGAATCTGGAAAATAGCTCAGCCCAGAGGTATGTCACCAGACTTGTCCAGAGCTGAGGGATAAGTTACGAGGACAGTCTGAAGGACTTTAACCTGGCGTCACTGGAAGACAGAAGAGTTAGGAGAGACACGATTACCAAATACCAGTTGGAATGAATAGATAAAGCAGACTATTTGGAATGAATGATGTAGAAATAAAGGGAACAGATTAAAACTAAGTACTGTACTAAATGACTCGTACAGATATCGGAAATTATATTTTCAATGTTACAAAAGTGAAGAAATTAAATGCGTTGAAAAGTGAAGCAGTGGCGGCAGGCGCCATACACAGCTTTAAAATTAGAAGTATTAAATCTCACTAAGTTGCACACCAGCCGATCGAAGATTGAAAAAATAAGACGATAGAATTGAAGTTCAACCCAAGCAAGGAAAATTAGGTGAGCACACACACACACTAAATTATTTGCCAAGCGCGTTCGGTTCTTTGTAAAGCCACCACCAGGAAATCATTATATACAATATATAATAATACCAGTATACTCATTCGTTAAAAAAAATTAACAAAATCAATATTAAGTTATTTTTTTCTTCTTGGAAGCAACTGTTGACAATGATGGCGGTAGACTATGTAGAGCAGTTTACACCGTGAACCTTCAGGAACGGTCGCACAGAAACTTGACGGTCACTTAAAGGCGTGACGAAGCCGTCAGGTCCACTGCTATCAATTTATGATGAGATTGTTGTCGATTAATAGCGGAGTTCTCGACGATGTGGCTCGATAGTGTTTTGTTATCTGTGCTAAGCCCCGCCCATCCTTTCTCCGGGATAATGACGGCGGCTCCCACACCACCACTACCCGCCCGCCCGCCCGCTCGCTGGGTACTGGTTATGCCACGCACGCTATAACCATACCTCATGACTGGTAACCTCGTGACTGGTAGCCTCATGACTGGTAACCTCGTGACTGGTAACCTCGTGTCTAGTAACCTCATGACTGATAGCCTCATGACTAGTATCCTCTGTCTAGTAACCTCATGACTGGTAGCCTCATGACTAGTATCCTCGTGTCTAGTAACCTCATGACTGGTAGCCTCATGACTAGTAACCTCGTGTCTAGTAACCTCATGACTGGTAGCCTCGTGTCTAGTAACCTCATGATAATTCCCTCCCTCTCTCCCTGAAAGCCAACGGGAGAATTTCCTTCTAGATAAAAAAATAAGGATTTTATTCTCATTGTTCTATGTAAAGATATTTTCTGAATTGAAGCCCATTCGGTTATTTGGTTAACAAAAATACCATTGTCGTTCCATATATATCTTAGCAGAATAATGGCGTCTGTATTTCGTTAATATTTTTACTCTTATTTTCCCATTTACTTCTTAGAAGCTGCCGCCTCCCCATTCCGAGAGAATGGGAACGAGAGAGTCCTGATTGAGCGAGGCAGGCATATAATGTGCTTTCTGAGTGCGTTGTCAAATGTATGTTTAGCATCAAAGCTGTACCATGTGCATGTGAGATCCTGAGTAGTAATGTTGTGCAGAGGAGGAGGTGGTGGTGATGGTGGTGGTGATAATGGTGGTGGTGATGGTGGTGGTGATAATGGTGGTGGTAATGTTGGGTGGTGATGGTGAT